AGTGCTCTTAACTGCTGAGCCATCTCTCCAGCCCTTATTTATTTTTTTTTTCAGGCAGGGCCTCCCTGTAGCCCCAGCTGGCCTGGAACTAGCTATATGAGATCCACCTGTCTCTGCCTCCTGAGTGCTGGGATTATAGAAGCATGTGCCACCATGCCTGGCTTATTTTTATTTTTTATGTGTATGAGTGTATTGCCAGCATGTAGGTAGGTGTACCCGTGTTGTGCAATGCCCATAGGGGTCAGAAGTGAGCGTCTGATTCCCCTGGAACTGGAGTTAAGGATGGTTCATAGCCGCCATGTGGGTGCTGGGAATTGAACCCAGGTCCTCTGCAGGAGCAGTTAGTGCTCTTAACCGCTGAGCCATCTCTCCAGCCCCTCAATTATATTTTTAATTTGAGTCACTCCCAAACGGGCTGGAGAGATGGCTGGGTTCGATTCCCAGCACCCACATGGCAGCTACAAACCATCCTTAACTCCAGTTCCAGGGGAATCCAAAGCTCTCTTCTGACTTCCAAGGCGTTGCATGACACGGGTGCACTCACATACATGCAGATAATACACTCATACACATAAAATAAAAAGAAATAAAATATTTAAAAAAAAAATCTCAAACAAGCCGGGCGCGGTGGTAGTCCCAGCACTCAGGAGGCGGAGGCAGGCGGATCTCTGTGAGTTCAAGGTCAGCCTAGTCTACATAGTGAGTTCCAGGACAGCTGGGGCTACAGGGAGACCCTGTCTCAAAAAAGACCCCCCCCTAAAAAGGATCTCAAATAATAAATAAAGCTTATTTTCTAAACTAAGATGATCTGATTCTAAGATTAAATTTCTTCAGAAAATAGTGCTTTTTAATAACTGAAACTAGTTTTGTAGAGAGAAATTAAAAATAATACCCAACATGTCACTCGCACAGTTCTTAAGATACTCATTACTACAATAATAGTAAATGCATTTATTTTTTTTCTTCTAGACCCTCCCTGGAAAAAGAGACATGATTGTCTGCAATGATACTTCCTGACACGAAGTTGATTCCAGAGAAGGAAAGGAAATTAACAGCTAGTATAGGCAGAATTTCTGAACAACCAGAATTTTCTATTTATTGCTTTCAACTATAGACTTCTATTGCCTATTTTTAAATTAGCAGTATTCTCAGTAATCAGACAAAGATACTCTTCTGTATTTTTTGAAGATCAAGAAAACTGCAATGTCTAGGAAACAAAGCCAGAAAGGTAAGATCACATGCAGGGATAAATTGTTCTAAGAATAACTGTAGCAACCTGGGAGTGTATGCTGCACAGAGGCAGAGCACTTGTCTTACATGCACAGGACGCTGGGTTTGATTCCCTAGCCCTGTGAAGATAAAACTAAAGCATAGGGCTGGGGTTTATACCTCAGTTGGAAGAATGTTTGCCTTGCATGCATGAAGCCAGCCTGGGATTGATCCTCAGTCCCACAAAAAAAGTTACAACCAAATACAGTTACAGAGTGTGGTTCCTACTTGTATTGCGGGGGGGTGGGGTGGGGGTGTCTTTTTGAAACAGTGTCTTCCTGTAGCCCCAGCTGGCCTGGAACTTGCTATGTAGGCCAGATTGGCCTCCAACTCACAGAGATCAACCTGCCTCTGACTCCCCAGTGCTGGGATTAAAGGCATGTGCCAACACACCCAGCATGCATTTGTGTTTTAAAACTATTCTTTTAGTAATGTGTTCTGAATAGTTTTACAAGTTATTGGTAAATATTGGGTTTTAGTTTTGTATATTACTAAGTCTGGGAATTTTAGAAATTGCTTTTGTACTCAGATAAATTTATCAAATTCTAACAAATTCATAGGAAAACCAGATGCAACCTGACAGTGCATTTTTGGAGAGTAAGCATATGTGAGGGGTGGGCTAGGAGCCTGCTTCTTGCATGACGTTTTGTGTCCCTGGGGAAAGGAGACAGTAAGAGCACATGCTTCCAACTTTTGTTTTCTTCTTTAGCTTTCTTTCTGGGATTGCTACTCCGGCTTCTTATCTAAAGCAAAGTAGAAGGCATAGAGAGGAGTTATTAAGAGAGGTTATAATGGGGGGAAGGAAAACCTTTTTCAACTTTCCTAGAATAGCTACAGTTATTTAAAAGGACAAGTTTAACAACAGCGCTAGAACTAATACACATAACTACAATGTGTTCATTAAAAGAATGACCATAGGTGTCTTGACTTTTTTCTGTTATTTTCATTTTCAATATCATGTTTTTAAGTTTGAAACAAAATCCCATAGATTCAGGTCTTCACATGTTAAATTGAAGGAAATACTTTTAATTTTTACTTGGCAGTTTGAAAACTTCATTATTAGAATATAACATACCAGAGCTACTTGATGTGGGTGCTGGAATTATGGACAGTTGTCAGCTGCCATGTGGGTGCTGGAACCTGAACTCAGGTCCTCTGTAAGAGCAGCCTGTGCTCTTAACCACTGAGCTATCTCCAGTCTCAAGTTTAGATTTTAAATTTTCCTTAAAAAGTTAACTTCAAGTCGGGCGTGGTGGTGCACGCCTGTAGTCCCAGCACTTGGGAAGCAGAGGCAGGTGGATCTCTGTGAGTTCAAGGCCAGCCTGGTTTCCATAGTGAGTTCCAGGACAGCTGGTGCTACAGGGACACCCTGCTTCAAAAAGACCAAAAAAAAAAAAAAAAAGTTCATACTCTCCCTCACCCAGCAGCAATCAATCTCAAACAGTTCTCTAGTGCTGGCCCGACACCTCTATTTCTCACCTCCCTTTGGGCCCTTGTTTGATTGAGCTAACATGGGTCTCAAGTTTGAAGCCACTGCTGCCATAGGCTCACATGAGCAAGCCTCCAGTGGCCTGGAAGCCTCCATCTGAAATTCTGAAAGCTCAATAAAAATAAAAAATAAATAAAAATTAGAAAAAAGAAAGGACAGTAGAAAAAAAAAGTTAACTTCAGCAGATTGCTTTGACCTTTTTTAAAATTAGAAAGATAGGGGCTGGAGAAATGGCTCAGCAGTTAAGAACACTGTTCTTGCTGAAGACCCGAGTTCATATCCCAACACCCAGCTAACAACTGTCCATAACTCCAGTCCCAGGGGATCCAACAGCCTCTTCTGATCTCCTTGGGCATTGCAGGACACCGGTGCACTTACCTACATGCAGGCAATACACACATACACATAAAATAAAATTTAAAAACCTAGAAAGATGGGGTTAGGCTAGTGAGATGACTCAGTGGAACCTGATGACCTGGGTCATCATCGATTCCTGGGACCCATGTGGTAGAAGAAGAGAACCAACCCGTGCTAGTTGTCCTCTGACCTCCACATGCATGCTGTGGCACGTGTATCACACCCCCCCCAAATAAGTAAATGTAATTTTTAAAAGGTGGAACAGTTGGGCCGGATGTGGTGGTGCATGCCTTTAATCGTAGCACTTGGGAGGCAGAGGCAGGTGGATCTATGTGAGTTCAAGGCAGCCTGGTCTACATAGTGAGTTCAAGGACAGCTGGGGCTACAGAGAGACCCTGTCTCAAAAAGAGCAAAA